TCGAGTAATTATACGCATCACATTTCATGGAATTGTTACGAACGACAAAATATTTCACTTTGTTTGGTTGTTACAATTTTTTGCATTCTTTTTAGCAAATGTCAATAAGAATATATCATCCGAAACCTGTTTCGACAACAAAACAAATAATGACAAGAGAATCTCTATAGAGAACAAAGCGGTACGATTGCTAGTAAGAGTCTACGTTTGATTCAAGGAATGTGTATTTTTTGAAATTATCAAATATCTATGCAATATTAACGTATGATTGAATTCATGCAGGAGTTTTGCTTTTTTAATTAAGCTGAAGATCTCAGGCAATTTCTCATTTGTTAATTAAGGTAACGTATAGTGCTGTAGAATAAGATAAGATTAAAAAACCAAAAAAGCCGAATTTTTTTTTTTTTTTTAAATTTTATGCACTTACTAGTAATTCAGCTCATATTGATTTAATTATTAGTCAAACACTTTGAGCTGAATAAGCGATTCAGCTCGCTAAAATTCAAATCAGCTCATCTAATTTAAATAATTAGTTTGCTATTTGAATATAAGAGTATAAAAATGTAATTCAACAGCAAAATATAATATTATATTTAGCAAAATTATTGCTTAAAAAGAAATACGGTTTTTATGTGCTAAAACATTTGGCAATTGTAAATACAGCTACATAGGTTTTATTCATCAATATTTAATTCAACTTTATATATTTGAAAGCGAAATGTCATTTGATCACTATTTCACTAATTCAGCGCAGCTTTATTACATTCAGCTTAACTTAAACTTATTATATTTAAGAATTTCACTGATGAATATAGGAACATTTGCAATAGCAGTCGTGGAAAGAATGCTCAGAGTGAGTTGACTAAATGTACTCACAGACATACATACATATATATTTATAATATATATAAATAGTTACTAATGGAAGCATATCATTAAGGCGTGTGAAAATCTCGAGCGCACAATGGCAAGCATCTGATTAACTACTCACATTACAATGATTTTTCAATATTTAACGTGTGACTTCTGCCAGCGATTAACTTTTGTTAAGCACGCACGTAAATATTTATACATACATACATACCATACAATATGTATCTATTTAAAATTTTATTATTATAAGCAATCGTTGAAACGTTTTACTTATGATTGACTTAAGAAAGTAATTAAAATATAGTTACATATATATACACATATACATATATGGTATATAATATAGTATGTATAATTATACCTACTCACAGAGGCCGTAAAAGGCCGCAAATCTATGTCAAGGAATGGGTTGTAGAAAGGGAAAGGTCATCAGAATGCGTCGGAAAAGAAGTGTGATTGGAAATCCATAAAAGTGGAAATCCAAACTTATGCCGTCGAACGAATTTAATGTAAATAACGGTAATAAAACAAAAGTAGTTTGTTGAAAACGCTATGACATTGAGTATAAGTGACAATGTAAGCAATAAATAACAGATTTTTGTGTCGAACCAAATATATATAAGGACGTGTGAAATTTATTATAGCAGGTCATTATACTCGTATTCAGGGAAATTCGGATATTTATGTACGTACATAAAATCCATCCACCCAAAGCAGAGGTTAATGTATTTATCTTGTTTGCATAATGAGGTTTGGAAAAGCGTAATGAAATTAATACAGCTGAATATACATCCATTAAATAAAATACCATGGGTTCAAGCTGCGCTGAATTCGATTCCTTTCCATTTTTCAATAATAAAATATAACACTAAAAAATTAGCTGAATTAGGTTTTAGAAAATGCATTTTTAAATAGTAATAGTAAATTGGTCGTTTGCTTACCATATATTCAAATAAAATATATACAACAACTGTAAAGTGCAGTTTAGATATGTAATAATAAAAATATAGCCATATAGACATAAAATATTTCATTCAAAATATTATTAGAAAAAACAGTGTATGTAATAAGTTTTTTTTAAATATTTTTATACTTTGCTGATTTGAAAAAGGTATAACCCCATAACTCTTAATATACGGTCAGAATTTAAATTTGTCAACAAAAATTAACTTCAATAAAATATAGATACTAGTTATTGAGACATTAAGTGCACCTTTTAATAAAATAATAATATATATGTTTATTTCAAATTGTCCAGCCGAGCTGAATTCAAATAATTTTAATGAAATTTGTATAGAATTATTTTGGTGCAAAATTAAATCAATTTAACGCTTTGAATGCAAATTTTTTTTTTGCAAATTTCAAACGTGCTGAATCATATATAAAAGCGCTGAATGAAATTGTTAGCACGAAAAATTGTGCAAAATATGTTAAATACTAGATTATTTGTGATATAAATTGTTATTGCTTAATATACAACAGAATTAACTTTTATAAAATACAGCTGATATAATAGAAAAATTTTTATTGGAATTCACGGTCGTGAAGTTGTCTGTAGACTCAGTTGATTATATTTATTCAGACACCACATCATTCAGCTTCAAGGTGTATAAAAAGGGGAGGTAAGGTCGTAATTTCATAGAATTTTTTTGGAAATGCACATACTTACATTAGCGGTTTCTTTAACTATTGCAAAACCCATGCACGGTGCATCGATTGCACGTCTGCAAAGCTTTGCAATGGCTGCACATTGTGTCACACCAAAACCCATGTTAATATTCGTGGAATTAGGCGTAGCAAAACCAATGCATCCCAGGACCAGCTGTCATATTGCATACATATACACACATACATTTCGCTGTCATTTCTTTTTTTGCAAGGGATAATTTGGTATAGAATTTTTGCATTTCGTGCAATCTAGCAAGAACCCAAAATTGGAAGGAAATATTAGAATATATGTACATATGTACATATACCCCTTAAAAGAAAATATTGACTTGGATCTGATTTATGTACGTTAAAAACGATTTACAATTGAAATAAAACTTTACTTGCTAAATTACCGCAGCAACTTAAACTATTCAACAGCGTTATCTTTAAAATGAAATATAAAAACAGCTGAGAATTTACACAGTAAATTACTGGTCATAAAGGCTTTGTGTAAATATGATGAGTTAAAAAACCCGCTAAATGAAACTCTCAACTAGATTTAATTCTAAATACACATTTTTTCAGAAAAATTGGGGAGAGGGCTGGGTTTTGAACCTCGTTTTGTTTTTGATCTGCAACTTTTTATAGAACAAAGATATCAAAGAAGGCAAGACAACGTTTGAAAGCTGAATATAACACGCAATATTTTTATTTGAAGAGATTTGTGTTTTGATGGTTCGGTAAATTTCTACAGCCAATTTTCGAAGGTCGTGATTTTTGACTGTTTTAAAAAAGCGACTGGGTTGTGAACCACCAGTCAACTACTGATGAAAATCAGAAAAATCGAAGTGAATCACTCAGAATTGTATGGAAAACGAAAATTGCAATTAATAGAAACACTTCGAGAGTAAAACAAGTAAAGAACAAGTTGTTATAATGACAATGACTCTACTTTCATCATCATCATTATGATAATACTCCCAGATATAGAAAGAATTACGCTAAAAACAAAAATATTGATTGTAGATTGAAGAGTTAACAACCATACCATGTTCGACGGAATGTGCGGATGCATTTATACAAATCAACATCACTGACGGTAGAAATATCCGTGAAACGGTCGAAAACTTTTTTCACGGGACGGGTCAGCGTAATCCTATCGACTCTATATTCCGCTCGTATGGCTTTTTTCTTCAAGAAATTGTCTTTAGTGGCGTTCATAGGTGTACATTAACATTAAAATATTTCCGATACAAAAAAAAAAAAAGAATTTGGACCCATAATTTTCATATATAAGTAAGCTGCTAAAGCGCAATTAAAATAAAAAAGTTGTATTTTTAATTCAACACGTTCTAAACTGACGACAGAGGTTTTAGTATTTGTTCTAAAAAACAAACAATTGACGGTGTGAAAAATACAGATTTTTATTCTAACAGGCAACATTGACACGTTTTTTAATGAAAATTTAGATATGTAATTGCCTTTGTGCTTAGGCACCAAATAAAAAATACATTTTACTTTCAGTCATTTTCTACGTTGGCAGACACATGAGTGTTCCACTTGTCAAATGCACCCAATGGAACCATCACGGACATCAGAAATAGAAAAAATAAAATAATCAAAGAAGGAGAGTACTAAAAATACATTCATATTAAACATGCGGTGACAAGAGTCAGTCCACTCATAAAAGGGCAACACACAAATTTTGAAGTAGGTTGGCCTGCACATACCTTAACAAGAAGGAATTTTCAATTTGCGTTTGAATACATTATTATAAATAGAATGATAGCTACGAAATTAAGTAAATATATGCACGCACACACCACGAATTAAAGTAGAAACAAATTTAAATTTCGCTTGCGTAATATACATATATAAAACCAATTCTGGAATGTGAAACAAATTTCACAAATATCAATATATCTAAATACAACGATCATAATATGAACAATGTACAGAGCAATATTATAGCAATGTTATATTGGCATAAAAACAAATACATACATATGTACGTACATGTGTGAACGGGTACTACTAGAAGTTCTCTACGCAAAATTCCCAATTAAAATAGTGAATTCTAAACATATGTTTGGTTTGGTTGTATATATGAATATTTAATAAGAATGTTCAGCACACGTGAATAAGATTTTTTCTTTTAAAGCACATACGGTCTGATATTTGAAGTTGGTTTTCAATTTGTTTGTTGTTTGTGGTTATAACAAATGTCATCTGTTTTTGTTTTTATATTTTATTTAGAGCATACCTTGCTTCAATTGTAAAAGGTTGTGTCAATAGGGCAAAAACAACAATTTATCAAAAGTAATTGGAACCATAGTGTCAAAATCAGCCGGTTTGTTGTGTATTGTTTTGATTATATGATTCAAAAATAAATTTGTCAAAGATTTCAACCAATGAAAATGCGTTTTTGAGTGATAACTGAATACAAAATCATCAAATTGTAAACAGAAAATTAATTTTGACATTAGATACACAACCTTATATAATTGAACCATGGAGCTTACAAATACAGATTTTTCTTTTTTTTCTAAAAATACGGTAATATGTATGTAATATATACATACATACAAGGGAAATTATTGTTTATATATAAAGGTTAATCCGTTTTTGTCTAGCGATTTTACGTTAATAACATACAAATAGTAATAATTACACGATAAGGGGTTTTAAACACTACCCATAAACTTTAGCAGTACTGTGCCGTAATAGAATAAATAAATCCTACGTTAGAATAAATTTATTGAGGACGCAATTAATTATCATATTTATTAGGTAAGATAAACAATAACTAAATTCGGTAAAGAGATTATGTCTTAAGATTCGAAAGACATTTTTCTATTTATGATATTTTTATATTCCATTTTAGATATTTTTATAGTTGTAATCCTGACCTATCAATAAGACAAAAATATATATGTACATATCTCAAATAAACTTACCTTAATACGTGGATCCAGTTCAGTGCACTCTGCCGCTGCAGCCATTTTTTCTTTGCGAATTTCACTTGCACTTTCTGTTTTGAGTAAACCGCCAGTCACTTGCAATGCCAAACTTCTAGCAAGAAATCAAAGTACATGGAATTATGTACGAAAATCCTATTAGAAAAATGTATGTGAACGTGGGGAGCTGAAGCACAATCTGATATGCATTGATGTAGTATCTTTCCAAGTATTTTGTAAACGCGAATTATGCACTTTCAATTACAGCTTGTACGAATAGGAAAACGCACACAATTTCTCAAGCTTTAACCAAACTTATGGATAATCGATTCCACTTTTAAAAATGTGCTTGTGCCTAGTACTACTTTTGTAAAGCACTACCATGGAGTTAAGAAAATATTCAATACGGAGATTAGTTACTCTCTGTGTGATGTCCAACAACGAATTTGTGAAATTTCCAAAACCTAACAATTTGCATACACTAATACTTATATAATTTTTCGCGAAACTTTGTTCTGCACTCCACTTTTAATTTCCAAGCAAATAAATAGTGAATTTTGTACTTAAACCTCGAATATCTTTGTATAAATTTCACTTGATTGTCGTCACAACAAACACGAAGCATGCAATCTTGTTTTGCATTTGACTTAACACTCGATTATTTCTTATACAATTTTACTATGCCCGTTTCCTACTTTTGTTTCACGAATCGTTGCTGATAACCACTGACTGACGCTGCGCTTTGCTATCTAGTTTACTGGGATGAAATTATTTGTATTATTTTTTGCAAAATTTTATTTTGGAGTTCGCAACAACGCCAATCAGCCGTCTGTCAAATATTACCGTCTGCCGCGCCACAATGATTCAAGGAAAATGACAACGCAGGCGTTCAGTACAGCAGCGCAGTGGCGCAGCACAGAGAACGTAGAATGGTGGATGTAACAAAATAGACATTAACCATACGAATGACAGTGGGCAAAGAAAACAACGCATAGTTGCTAGATTAATCGATTAACGATTTTTGGGTAAACATTTATATATGAGTAATGTCGACAAGACAAAAATAAAAATTTAATTTAATTAATTAAATTTAATTACAAAATCTCTAGGCTATGTTTAATAAAAATTTCATTATATTACTAAATTTATTTGCATCGTTAAATATTTAATGTGGCATCATTCACTTTTGTGTCGCCTCCCATTTGATATTAATCGATAAATAATTTCAACGATATAATTTGGATATAATCGGGACTCCGTTAACGCTTAAAATTTAACTATTTTTACATTATTAAAATATACTATCGCAAATTTCTATATCATTTACACAATGTACGCAGATTTGTACATTTGTGTAAAAAATTTCTTTCACAAACATCTAACAATATTGAGTTATTCAGGGGATTTTTATCGGTTTTGAATGTCACGAAAACCAATTTTATTGGTTTTGTTATCAGAAACAAAGCAAGAGTATATACACATACAGATTTGAACTGTAAGTTAAGAAATTAATTTATATTAGGTTACGATTTAATCGTAATTTAACATCAAAATGACTCTTTTTTCAATTTTTCAAAAGCTTTCAAATTTATTTATTTGCAAGTTTTGTCACATTAGTAAACATCTGATTCGAATATTGGTTTTGCATATGTTCGAAAAGACGAAATTGCAATCAGATTCAAGGACACCATTGAAAATCAGAATTGGCAGACTGTTAATGAATAAAACTTTTAACATGTTAATTAACATGCTCTGGTTTTAGAAATGAGTTGACCAACCTAAGTATTGTTGCATCTGCCTTTTTTTTGGTATATACCATCGATTACATAATAACCTCTTTGAAAAATAAAAACCCATTTTTTCATATTTTTGTTTTATATATTTTTTTGTTGTTGTCCGTTTGTTTTATATTTACTCATTTATTTTATTTGTTTTTTACTATAATATTTTTACTTGTATATAAATTTATTTATATGGAAATAACACTTACATACATTTTGATTTCAAGTTGGTTTTGTTGCCCATTCATCATTAAAAAGAAAGAATTAAAAACTAATTACAGTAAATCTTCCGTTATTATAATATTACGCAATTATCTGTAGATTTAACATACTCAGCTTTGCATTGTAAAAATATGCTGCATTATGCTTAAAAATGGAAGTAATTAATGATAATAAAATATAAATATAACGCATTAAAATGTTTTTTAAAAAATGGTATGTTTAAAGTACACAATAACTTCTTTTAATCAAAATGGAATGTTAAATATTTAAAGTTTACAATAAGGCATAGTATTGCTGTTTAATAAAATAATAGTAAATTATAAAATTACTTCTTAAATTAAACTGATATACATATGCCTGACCACCTGCGCTCCATTTTACTGGCCTTTTTCTTGCTATTATTCATGCTTTAATTCTATAAACGCCTATTTGTTATTTTTTATTAGTTTAATTTACTCTTTACTGTTAGTTGCTGTTTGAATTTTTCAACTCACTGCACCTTTTAAGTTTTTTTCTAACATTTCTCGTTATGATTTGTTGCTGTGCTTTTGTGGTTTTGTATTTTTTGCTTGTTTATTCTATTTTAAAGGTAGTACGCATACAAGCATGTATATAAATGTTTTTATATAAAGTTTAATGTTAGGGTATTTTTTGTTTTTATTATTTTTGTTTAGCTTTAGATTATGCTATTAGAATTAAAGTTTGCTTATCGCATGGAATTTACTGATACGGTTTTTGATGTTGTGTATAAGGTTTCAATTCAGAGTGTGTGTGTGGTAATTGAGAAATATAAAGCTATTACTGTCTTTTCTCAATATCTAGTAGTTGTATGTCTTCGACATTTAATTTTTCTTGTTGAGAAAATCGCACTTTCTATTTAGACAAATTAATATCGGCAATTTTATTTAATCCACAAACATTTGAATCTCTGAATTTAATGATTAAGTCATTCTTTTTATAATGTTTGTTACGGCTTAAATTAAAGTTTATGCACCTTTTGCTACATTTCCACTATATAATGTTAACACTTATGAAATTTTAATTTAAATTTAATTTAATTTAGTTTAATATATATGTATATGTATATATTTAGTGTATTTAAATAGTACAAAAGTATACTTTTTATTTTAAAAGCTTTTACAACTTTTAGTTTATATTAATTTTTATGTTATTTTAATGCTAAGTATGATGTTGTTGACTTTTTAGTTGTTGCCTGTTCGTAATTTTTTCTATACTTGTTTTTTTCATTTGTTATAAATTGCGTATAATCGTAGGTGTTATAAAGGTGAAAAACGCAGAATTTCCTATTTTTCAGGTTTAACAAAAATTTATTAATTTTTAATCTGCTGTTTACGGCGTTTACTGCAGCATATAAATTATTATGAAAATGGAATGTTTTCTAACATAATTTAGATTAAATTGGTTTTATGTTTTGTTAAAAAAAAAAAATAATAATAATAAGAAATAAATATATGGTTAACGTGCCATTTATATATATGGAATGTTTATTTTGGTTTAAAATATTATATCAATTTTTTGCGAATAAATATACAACCGTTGGCAATTGTTTTTGAAACCATTATTAAAAGAAAAATATGAACTCTTAATCTCTCTTATATCTCCTTCCTCTTTGCTGCCAGTAAGCGCCACTGAAACGCAGTTACCGTAAAAAACCAAGCTACAAGAATGTTATAACTGCTAAGATACAATTAAACTTTCTTTTGTTAACTACAAAAAATACAATTTTATACAAATACACAATACACTGCCATATATACTTATGCACGTATAATATAAAATGCGTATAAAAAAGTATTAAATTTACGCGTATCATGTGCCTATATACAACAATTACTCATACATACATATAAGTTCATTTATGAGGAAATGATCTATACTACACACTTTAGTTATAATATTAAAACAAAACTAACAACTAAGACACTCAAGTGTTAGACGCAACTAAACTACATACAAAGGTATGCGTGTACGAGAAGGAGAGCTTCAATGCAAAGACATTCATTGCTGATTGAATTTTAAAAAAATGTTTAACTTCAAAATATGCATATAAGGCCGAAAATGCGCTTAAAATAGTTATCCGGCGTAGTCCGTAGATTATTTTATTATCCGGGCAACAAAAATAATTAAAAAAATATATAAAACTATTTAATATACATATATTCGAAGTTTTTTTTTTTTAATTATCCGAAGTTATCCGACACTGATTCAATTATTCCGGTGACTTATTTTAAAACTCAAAATTACAAATTTGAGGCACGTTTGAAAATAAGTTGTTCGACGATATCCTAAGCTGTTTTAATTATTCGAGCGTTGCCCTAACCAACACAAAATAAATTCAATCATAAATATTTTTATACATAAATATTTCAGATAGAATTAGATAACATAAATTAAAAAGTCTTAACGAGTGTTTGTTTACTGTATATAAATTTATCCGATGGTCGGTTACGTTCATAAAATAACAATACTTCACAAAGTACTTGAGTGGGAAGGTGTCATCATTGTATTGCTTGAATATATTTAGAAGAAAGATCGAAGTGAACTTCAGACTGTGAATAAAATATAAAAAAAGCCTCTGAAAAATTACCGGTACAACGCTTTATGAGAAGCCTTTGCTACACGGATATTATATTTCAGTAGGATAATATTTGTAATATGTATTCTACTCATCTATGTACGCCACATTTTAATAAATAACTTTGAGCGCTAGAGGCCGAAAAGAACCGAAGCGAAATTCATGAATGAAATGCCTTTTGCTTTGAATCTCAAGTGTGCGCACGCGCATATTTCACTAACATTTTATGTAAGACCCATTAATTTTTAAAGTCCCAACTTGCAAAACACATACATGTGCATATATGTATATAACTATGTACCTATGTACGCCCTTGAGCAGTATGCTCCACAATATGTGCTTATTCACTATCAATATTTAGGCCAATACGCTTTTCCTCCTCCAGCATGGCATCGAGTTCGTCCGTCAAATTGGCCAACATATTACCAATGTCATTGAGCACATTGACTGACACCTTTTGACCCGGTGTTTGAATTGTGGTCGAGCCGGCGCCAGCGGTGCCACCTGAACCATCTGCACCCTCACTGCCAGTTAAGGGCGCGCCATCGCCAGCTGCATCCGTATTAGCCTCAGCGTCGCTGGGTGTATGCAAGTCCACGGTAGTGGTGATAGTCGTCGATGAGCCGCCGACGGCATTCGTAACATCGGTCGGTGGATATTGTAGGGTGGGAGAACGTAAGAGCAATAGGCTATTGCTGCCGCCACCGCCGGTACTGGCGCCAGCGCTGCCGCCGCTTGTGGTGCTGCCGATGCTGTCGCTGCGTATCAGCGAAGCGTCATGCAACGAGGCAGATGTCTTAAGCGAGTGAAAAGAGTGCGCTATATTGGCGATGGTGTTGGTCGACGAAGACGAGGACGACGACGAGGAGGAGTGCAGATGTGGTGTGTTGCCCGATTGTAGCGGCTGTTGTGGCCCACCAATGTCTTGGCGGTTTAGTAAGCGCTGTTTGATGGTGCCAGTGTTCTCGTTAGCGAACGGTATGGTGTCAATAGAATCGATGCTGGAATTTGACTGTGGGTTGCAACAGTAAAAAACAAAAGTTATAAAACAAAATCAAAAGATTGGCTAATCTCGCAGGTGTGCATTCTAACCTTATTGTCATGGAATTTCTCGCAGTGTATTTCCGCCGTGGTCTGTTGTATGGTTGCATAATTCGCATAGATCGGCTGATTAGCAGTTGCCGCCGCTGCTGCGGCTTGTTGTTGCGCATGCGTCATGTACATGCCACCATGATGTAAAGCGCCAGCGCCGCCATAGTAGAGGCCGGGCGTAACTGCTGCGCCGACATGCAATCCCATCTGTTGTTGTTGTTGCAATTGTTGCTGTTGTTGCGCGCTATCTGCACTCAAAGTACGTGAATTTCGTATACTACAATGACGTCGCGGTGGTTCCGGTGCGATTTTCTTATTACTCATTGGACTGCCGGTCAAGTAGGGCTGTTGGTTGGCGTGAGTGAATGGTAATAGAGAAATAAAAATTAAAAAATTACTTCAATACTGCGATCAATACATTTTTCCTGCGCCGATTTGACTTACTGTATTCAGACCGGCGCTGTCCAGCACACAACCAGTTGGGCCTGTAGCGCCCACATGCGCAGTCGCACCTGGCACGCCAACGCCACCCAATCCACCTGCATGGCAGACATATTCCGCTGCGGCAGCTGCGTTCATATAGTGATGTTCGAGTGGTGGCATGCTGTTCAATACGGCGCGCTGCAAAATGCCACGCTGCTGACGCGGTAGTGTACCGCCGCCCTCCTCGTACATGAGTTCACGTGCAGCGTCATTGGTGGGTGTAATGTCACCATCATCATAGGAACGGCGCCAAGACTTTAATGATGAATAAGATTTAATTTTTATGCCGGGTTAGTTAGAATGCTAAAAGTTACGCAAATTACAATATACTGATAAAACTTATGATAGAATTTATTCGGAAATTATATATGTTACTTAAAAGAATGAAGCCCGAGGGCCATTAAAGCAAAAATATATACATAAAAAATTATCCGGCATTATCCGATGATAAGATAAATAAAATCTTAAATAAAATTTATAGTAATCATGCGACTTTATGAGCAGGTTTTATCACACACCAATGTACATGTATCTATCTCATTTTATAAAATAATAACGTTTTTCGGTACGGCGAACGATATTACAAAATACAAGCAAATTCTGTCCAAACTATGCCAATTTGACACTAATAGAAAATTTTCAAACCTTAATACATATATGTGAAATTATAACTTTATTATATTTTTAATATTTATAAACTAAATATATTATGCGGGGAAGAAAACCAATAAAAAAAATTATCAAAAATATTTTTTCTTTAGAAGTCATTTTTATTTTATTTTCCAGCTGTTTAATTCCCAAACTCCCACTCGTCTAAAATACTAAAACACTTACCATAGCTGCCTGATTGCTAAGCAAACGTGCACCGCCAGCACCACCTGGTCCGCCTACAACAGTGCCGCCCATCATGGCTGCCTGATGATGCTGTTGCATAGCTTGCTGTTGCTGCTGGTGTTGCAAGGCTTGCTGATGGTGTTGTTGTTGCATAGCAGGCGTTGGATGCGCAAAGTGGCCATAATCAGTGGCCGTGTAATGGCTAAAGGTCAAATGGCTGCGTGTGCTATTGTCGTGTATATCCTCGAGTGATTCTAAGCTTTTGCCCCGTGGCTGGCGCACCTAAGTGGAAGAGAGCGCGTAGGAGGACAGCAGATGTGGGAGAAAACAAATTACGTTAGTTATAAAAGTATTATTATGCATAATGTGGCTGGATTGTGGAAAATAATTCAATATACGTATGTATATAATCGAAAAAATAATAAATTCCAAAAAAAAAAAAATTTAATAAAGGAATAAATTTTAAGCTATTTAAAGCCAAATATATTGCTGTTTCGTCATTAAACACCGCCGACACAGGTCCGCCAGCTGATCGCGCAATAGTGCACACGCTCACCTTAATGGGCACCACGTCGTTGCCATTGCAGCACTCATGATGGGCACCGTTGCAAAAGTAGACGGCGTCGACGCCGGGCGTAGCATAAATCTTGGAATCGTCCCACGAAACGCGCGTAGTTGGCAAATAGGTCGGTGTAGTGGGCATTGGCACGGCACTGGGCCAAATCTTATTGCGATAATCCTTTCGTTTCACACGTCCAACGGTTTTATTTTGGTTGGTAAGGTTGATGACGGATTCAAATCATAGGCGGCAACAGAATATCACAAAATGAATTAAATAAAAGAACCGAAAAAGAGAAGAAAAATAAAAGAACAAAAATAAAAATATAAGTTCTAAAAATGATCTTAATATAAATATATTATTAGCAATACAATAAAAAGTAATCGTTCGAATAAAATATTACAAAAAAAAAATTGGAATATAAACCTTAATTATAATAATTTAAAAAATTAATTAATAATATATTAATTTTGAATTAAATTTGAATTTTTATTTCACATAAAAACTTTAATTTTGTAAAAAATAAAATTCACTTCCCTCACAGAAATCGGAGAATTCAACACATTCATCATTACATTTCCTTTTAACACACTCACCTGCTGTTGGTAAGCATTAATACCGCCCGGATTCCACTTTCCGCTTATGATATCTTTTACACGCTTAATGGCTAAGAGAATCTTCTTTTGATGTCCCAATTTAACAATACCAATGTCTTCCAAGTCTTCCCAAGTGACTTGCGTGACGTCGCGTACAGTTTTATAGTTTTGATCAAGTAATGGTTGAATGTATTCCTCGAGACGTAACAGTTGTAACCATTCTTCAATGGAGCCCTGAAAGAAGAGACAGAATAAAGATAAAATATAAGTGCAAAAGTAAATACATTTTTTTCTATAATTAATTTGTCAGGAAACGAGTTTGAAAATGAGCGTGATTTCTTTATGCTTATCCGTTATTATCCATGTCAATTTTTAAATGAAAATCGCATGGGACTTCTTTAAACCAAAAAATAAATTTTAAATTTGTAACAAAAATTTAATTAAACCTCAAATAATTTTTATGCGGATATATAAAATGTAAACAAATACAACATGTTAAAATCGCATGTGATAATAGGGAATGATAATTAACATTGAGAATTGTAGAAAAGCATCAACGGAGAACAAATTGTTCCTATGTATGACCTGTTCTAAAAGAAGCTACAAACAAATTATTCGCGCTTATTTGAATACTTATATGTTATGTATAAATTTTAAAACCTTGATTTGTTTGGTCATGACTCACTATGCACGTTAATTTATAATGCATAACTTCGGTGAAAACAATAATTCGGGGACCATACCAACACCGCCAGGGCATAATTATAGCCGTTCATGGAATTAACCGAAATTATTTATTTATAATCAACGTCAATGGCTGTAATTTGCATAAATTGATTGAAGAAGATGGACGACATTTTTATTGTAAATTTTAAACTTTTTCCTTCAGCTTACCTTTGTTTATTTATTTTTAAATAAATGTATGTACATATATGTGGTTATCTATGAATATGCAGCGCATTATTTATTCAATTCAAATTAATATCTACGCTAGAAGCTCATTGAATATTTCATGCCTCTAATAGCTAAAGCATTTGAATTGAATATTGTCTTATTTGATTAATGAGCGCCAAGCACAAAGCCCATATATGTAAGTGTGTTAATGTTTGTATTTGCGCTATTGACACTTTTTACTTTATCTCCATTGGAATAATATAACGAAATATTATAATTTTCAACTTTTTTCTGTACTTTTGCAAATAGTGGTAGACAAGCAATAATAGGAATTTATCGCAGATAAAGACAGGCGGGCAACAAAAGTAAACAGAAATATGTAGAAATAAATAAAAACTTGAAAAACGTTAGGAGTATGAGAGAAATCGCATGCGAGAACTGACTAGTTAAGATGTGAGGCAAAGGCAGGCAGACAAGTGGATACAAAGTTGAACGAAAATAGACTAAGCACGTTGTCGGGGAACTGTAAAGACGGTAGCAAAGGCAAATCACCGACCTTGAACGGTGACGCCAAAATGAATTAATAAACGAGGGAAATATCAGACGCGGTATGAGGATAAGGAATACAATGAAAAATGCAAAGAGATAAACGAGTGGTAAATATTGGAGATAAATAAAATACGTAAATCACATATTAAATAAGTTAATACAAAAATTAAGTTTTAAAATAAATAAATACCAATCAACACATTAAAAAATATATTATATTATATATTATACCAAATAAAAACAATAATAATAAATATAACATATAAAAAATATTAAAAAAAAATAACCAATTTCTATATTTATATTTGTTCATTTTATTAACTAAAAATAATAAAAATATATTAATATAAAAACTATAACATATTAAATCAATTTACAATGAAAGATATTTATATTTTTGAGCATAAAATGAAAAATTTGGTAAAAAATATAATAATATTTAAAATAACACATAAATCAAATTACCAAAATGATTTAAGAAAAGATATTTAAATGAACAAAAAACATTTGATAATGTACGTATATTAAAATTTATTGTAAAATAAAAAACAATGTATAAAATTTATTAAAAAATAAAAAACAAGGAATAAACTTTAAAGAAATATTTAATATTTAAACCAAAAAGAACTCAAGAAAAACCAAACATTAAGACTCTAGAAGAACCTAAGAAATCCCTAATGGTTTTCGATTAATGGCGTTTTGGTGCCCGGGAACTTGTGTACTAAGTATTATCAAGACATCTCAATATTTACTCAAGTTATCGCTTGCACAGGGAGACAGACAGTCACCCGGATTTCAACTTGTCTTGTCATCCTGATTCTTTATATATATTTATAACCCTATAACTAATTCGATTAGTTTTAGATAATACAAACAACCGTTAGGTGATCAAAACTATTATACTTTGTAGCAACATGTTGCGAGAGTATAAAAAGGCATAAGCAAATTTAATGAAAAAATATAAAAAACAGCAAAATAAAAAATCTTCAAATAAGTAAATATCAGCGGTTAGACATTATAAGTAAAAAAGTTAGAAAATGCAAAAATAAAACAAAACATCGGTCCAGCGAATGGCCAGCATGTCACGCCATTAGCTACCTGCAGGCGCTTGCTTAAAGCGCTACCAACCAAACGAATCGACATGCGAGCGCGCATGGGGTTTGCCTCCAAGCTTCCATGTGATTTCTTAAACGTGCAGCTTTTACTGTCTTTTACGTATTTTACATGTCTTTTTTGACTTCTTTTCCTAAATGCTATTGCCCCGCTGGCGGTCATTTCTCGGCTAAGCTTGTCTTCATACTCGTTGTTTTTGTTGGTGTTTTGTTTTCATGTGGAACCTCGCATTATTTTTCTCGTTAAATGTGAAATAAGCTGCTAAAAGACAACAGCAACATTTTGGACAACAAAATAACCACAAAAACAACAGCAAATTGTAAAAGTAAAACAAAACATAATAACACATTATTGGAAAAAACGTAATAAGAAAACCCCAAATCGGAAATTGTTGGCATTTCGACGCTTGTCCATTGTCGGTGGTTAATCTCCGGCGTAAAAGCAAATGACTGTCGACGAACGTGACATCTGAGCGCATGGTTAACGTGTAAAATTTGCTAATTTGCGTTGAATTTCAAATGCTTCAATTATTTAGTTTGCAAAAATAACCGCTCTGGCATTTACAAAGTTAACAGCGCAGCGCTGGAAAAAGCAAAAACAATGCTGTGACGAGACAAAAGTATTGAATCCAACGTATGGCATATTAATGTGTTATCGTCGCCGACGGTATAATTTCAACACAGAATTGCATTTAGAGTATATTATTAATTATGTATACATGCTGTTCCAAGACCTATTTTAGAATTTTCGTAGGCTTGTGAAATATACTTCTGTATAAATAAGGAATGAACAATATAAGTAAGTAACAAAACACAACAGAATACCAAATTTAGACTTCACAAATGTTATCTGTGATTAAATTTTTTCTTAAAAGTAAGGAGAATAATATAGCAATAGCAAGTAATAAAAGTGTGTCTCAAAATACGAAACATTTTTACCCGTGCCTGAAATTTGAACAATTATTATTTATAAATATAAATAGAACTACTTCGAAACGAATTTCAGTAAAAAAATTTTATCCGCAGTTTTAAAGTGAGTTTAAGACATTATCTAATGCTACAAGTAGGTCTGTACTACAACCTTAAGTGCATGTAACCTAAAAAATGTTTATCCGACATTATCCGAGATATAAAAGTACAATGTAAACATTTCGAAAATATAAATCTTCATTATTTTTAACAGAATAATCTAATATAAAAGTAACATTTATAAATTTGTAAGTTAAGTATATATACATATATATGTATATGTATACATATTAACTATAATCATTACCAGAGTGTATCGGATACGGTAATTGTTTTCCGTTATAGTTTCTTAACAATTTAAAATTATCTCTGAGTAACTATATATATATATATATATATATATGTATTTATATATCAAAGATGTAAACAAGTAACAGAAGTGAGCAAATAACGGCGTTATCCAACATTTTAAATATTTTTAAGTAGTTTTGTGAATTCACATATTTTACTTGCAATCCATTAACCAACAAAATATTTTTAGCACAAATGTGTATTAAATGTATCATAATTTTTATATTGAGAACAAATGCTTGAAGATTCTTACAATATACATACTTATGTACACACATATTACTATTATTTCCTGAATTGTTAGCAGAAAAATGTTATTAAAACTTTCCATGTCACTTTTTGCATCCTAAACTACAAAAGAATTTTATAATAACTTGTATATTGGGTCTATAACTATATTCGTGCGTTTTTCAATTTAAATATTAAGTAGTATTATTCGAAGTATTGCCCATCTGAAGCTATAACTTTTTCCAATCTTTCTGGCAGTTTGTGGATTCCATTCCAAAGAAGATCTGATGTGAACTGTATTTTAGTTGGCGCGTTTTGCATGGACGGGAACAAATAATAGTCAGAAGGTGCAAGGTCTGGGCTATAAAGTGGTTAAGGCAAAACTTTCCAAATTTATTTTTGTACGGTTCAAGCAGCTTTTCTGAGATGCAAAATCGTCTTTGAACGTCTCTTGGCTTCAATTGATATGTCACCCATTTCCTTGGTTTTGTATTCGGCTGGTTTTAGGCGTTTCGAAGTGTCTGCCTCAGTGATTACTAAGGTTCTGTGAGCTTTTCTTGTGTTTGGCAACAATCTTTATCGAGTAATGCTTACAGTTTTTCATCTTCAAACTTGTTTGGCCGCCCAGGACGTTATTCGTCTTTCAAGTCAAAATCCCCACTTTCAAATCGTGCAAACCACTTTTGGCACGCTCGCTCAGCTAGAGCATGTACGCCATAAAATTCCACCAAAATACGATGGTTTCGGCTGAGATTTACCTTAAATAAAGCAATGAGGAAGAACTCCTCGCAAAAACACTTTTTAATACTCATAGTTCAACATATTTGAGTAAAACGAATTACTGTTGTTTGTGCTTCAATTGAATGACATTTGCTTAAAAAGACGCATAAGGACAGCAGCTTTCCAACGAATTTTAGGAATATTGGAACAATGGACACACGCAATATAGTTACATATAATATAATATATATGCATATGTATATGTTATACCCGAGCTTATCCGAAGGCAAAATTAAAGCTTAAATCTGACGTGTTTTAAATGAAAAAAAAAAAAATAAAAAAATAAAATGTGGTTCATTGCTCTAATTTTGGGACCAACGATACCATAAGTTCTTGTGTATGTACATACTCATATGTAAGTACTATGAAATGCATGTATATACTATATACATATGTACTTATGAGTGTCATAAAAATATGCTTTGTAGCGCGTCTAACTGAACATAGTTAAATGCAATGCTCTTAATCAGTGCCCATAAAATTTTCCCTAGAAGCTTAACAGATTTCTGTAAGAGTATAACGTAAGCGTGTAAGTGTGTATGTGTACCGTTTTGTTTTTCTTGATTTTTTTCTTGTATTTTTGATTGCTTATTTTCCGATTATAGTTGACGTTTTCAGTTCACCACATTACGCGTTTACAATTTCAGCGCTGAAGTACTACGCAGTGAGGAAGAAACAAAAGGCAAATGGAAGAAATACCTAGAATACATAAAAATAAAAAATAAACGTTAGCTTCGGTTGCACCGAAACTACAATACCCTTCACAAATACAACAGATCACATTGTATAGCAAATTTGGTGAAGATATCTCGTCAAATGAAAAAGTTTTCTAAACAAGCACTTGATTCCGATCGTTGAGTTTGTATGGCAGCTATATGCTATAGTAGCCCGATATCGGCGGTTCCGACAAATGAGCAGCTTCTTGGGAGAAAAAGACTTAAAGCTGGTCTTCGACGTTTCCTTTTGGGTGTTACAAACATCGTGGCAAACTTAATATACCCCGTTCAGGGTATAAAAAGTTGTTAGTTTGCCAGTGTGATACCGTCAATTGGAGTCGAATTTCGGCACTACATATGCGTTTCTATATATTTCAATGCGTTTCTATGTAAGCATATCTGTAAATGCGTGTGTGATTATTTAGCCCATAAGTATATACATATGTATGCATTTAAGTAGCCCACCGGTGGCCTCATGTGTCGCATATCAGCTATACGACAGCCGCCAAAGCGACTACGACGCTCATATCTCACATTGGCCGTACCAATCTTACATCGAACGCGCTCAACTCACTCGTACCCATCGCACCAAGTATTGTATCTGTTTATTAAACTGGTGTAATGACAAAGTAGTTCACGGACATATTTTGTTGAAAAATACTGTGCTCTGCTTTATCTTGTTAGATATGGAAGCGCGAAATATTTTGTTTTGCTTATTTACTCATACTCTGCTGCTTAAAGGCGGATTTTTATAACACCAAAACACATATGCGAGTATTTTTACACACACATACATCTATCGATAGATTTACCTTTATCAGTAACGCATACACAAACACAAACTTATAAATACCGCCACACCGCGCGCCTAGCCCCTGTCTGTTACATATTCCGTACTTGCTAATGACATGATTACACTTTCCAATTACAGTTAATTGAGTATCCGTGCGCTTTTGTTAACTGACATTTAGCCATATTCGCGCCAAAGTCACTAGTCACTAAAAATCTGTAAAAATATGTTTCTGATATTTTTTGCCTCTTTTACCAAATCAGTTAACACCTAGCCTAAGTCGTGTTGCGCCAGAGTAAAAAAACAACAACAACAACAACAACAAAATAGTACACAATCAAATGGCGTACGTGCAATGCTATCATAACTAAAGCTGTTAAATGTTATGTGATTTAAGTATTGATGTACTTTTTGTTATTTAGTTACACAGCAGTTTTTAAATACTTAATATGCATAAACAATTTTACGACAAACATTGTTAACAACTGCTAATTGACATTTCGATGTATTGGTAAACAACTGTAAAAAGTCGAGGTTAGGTTTAATAGGAACGTAGCCGGATATTTCTTACTTCAAAAGGCAGCAAAGGGAGCAATGGGTATGCAATTCAATGGAGAGTCGCTATTAATAACCAATATACACACAACAGGGTTGCATTGGGATATCTGCCACCTTTTATTGATTAAGTTACAACTGTCAAACAAGTTAAATCATTCAATTTAAATTGAATATGTGCTTTTAAAACGTATCTATCGGAAAATGTTTACGATAATTTTCACAGCTTCTCTAGGAATACTTTGACATATAGTTTTGAATTTACAATTGTAGATTATATAACTGTAAAAACAAAGCTAAACTGGGACACACATTTTTGCAGAGTTTTAATAAATCATTATCCAGAGAAACTGTTTTATGAAAAAAATATTTCAACTTTAAAGACGTGAAATCCAATATTGCTGAAATTTGACACAAAATAGCTCAAACAACTAATGGATTCATCAATTAATAATTTTTATTGGTGATCTTAAATCCGTTCACCCTATATACCAAAGAGTGCAAATTTCCAATACCTTCAAATGGTAGGTTAGGTTAGACTTTGTCAAATATAAACTCAAACTTTTAGAAATTGGTCTATCTTTCTAGTTCACTTAACTCTGCTAACATCGCACATTTTGCCAAAGTAGTTCAACTAACTTTTTGCAGTTTACTGTCTTTTATTTCAAGGAAAACATGGGGTAGACTCATGGCTATGATAAAATATTAAGGTGGCTGAAGCGGATGCTTTTATAAAACAATTCATTTTCGAGACTTCATTCCAGAGCTATTCCTTCATGAGCTAAGGAGTTATCTAACTCTGTGATTTATTTCCAGCTTCCATTTACTTACGTTTTGTATACAATATAAAATGGATAGGATAAGATCCGGAAAATATAGTGGCTGCGGTAGCTCTTTGAAGCAATTTTTCTTGGTTTTGTTCATTGGTTTGTTACCCGGAACATTTTAACTTTGATTATCAGCTCGAGCGGTGATCGTTTTTCACTTCAACATACCTAAGTTTTCATGAATTCAATGTCCAACACGATGTTATAAAATATATATTTAGGATATCAGCTTTCTCAATCAATTTTATTCTACCATCGTTCAAAATCATTTCGTTATCTAGGGAAGGAAGTAAAACCGATTGAAAAAATTTTACGGATGGATATCCACTGTCGATGGTTTGAACGGTATTCGAAAGAAACATTACGGCAAACAGAATTAAGTAGCCATGAGACAAAGAAGTTGCTTTATTTTAGCTATATTTCTGTATACCTGTAATTTATTATGCAAAATTCTTAATTGACTTTAATAACTCATTATGCCATTGTATTTTAAAGAACAAAGAATCGTAAGCAGATTGCGTATCAATTGAAGGTCATTAAAATGTCATAAATTGACAGCGAAAAACAAAAATTGTAAATCAACGAACCAAAACCAGACAGAAGGTGAAATGAAAATAAAAAATTAAATAAGCGACACACAAATTAAGGATAAGTATCAAAGCAGAATTGGCGAGAAATATATACAAATACCAAAGGAACACTAAATGGCTAAAGGAGGGGAAATTTAGAAAGACCCACGGTAATAACAGGTAGGTAGCTGCCGAAAAACGTAAAAAAATTTAAATGATTTTATTGTTTGTTTTGCTATTATTTGGTTAAGGATGTTTTTTTAGAAGTATATAAAATTTTTGCAAATAAAAACAGAGATATTAATAAAAAGGTCAATAATTGATCAATTTATTTACAGACAAATTATGATTCAGACTACGTAAGTTTCTCCCAATAAAGTGTCTATTTCACTCACTGAAAGTCTTGTTTAACCACCCAGCAGAAATCATTTAGCATTTTGACGATTCTGATTGACCTCGGTAACCAAAAAATAGCAAATAATTTGAAAATAAATGCCAACTCATGTGTTTACTTTGTTTTGACTAATATAAAATTGTATACCTTAGAAAAATCATTCTATACTTCCATCTTTGTCTTTCAATGTACCCAAAAAATAAAAAATAATAAACAAAAATACCTTATAAAGCATTCAACTCAAACACGTATTATTTTGCGAAGAGCTGGATGAATGGAGATATGAAGTATTTTTGCTATTTAATTTTTTTGTTTTCTTTATGAACGTCAATACATTGACATTTAAGACAAAATGTTGCCAAATTTGCGCATAAAATACATAAACATGTACAAGTATTACCAACACACAAGGCAATAAAATGCAAGAGTGATGAAAGAAAAGGTACGGAAAATAAACAAAACGCGGTATACTCTATTGATTTCTTTGTTCATTTGTGTATATGGTAGAAAGCGTTTACAATGATTCCGTATGCGCAACTTTGGAGAGATGTGGAGCGATAAGAGAAAGGGCTAGTGGCAGGTAGTGCTTGACAAAGAGGAAGTGAGAGCGTTGCGCATATGAAACAGACGACGATTTGTATCGATAAAGTAGTGGAAGCGCGGGGGTGTTAACTTTCATATAAAACTAGAAATTTGCATATGAGGTGTGAAGATGTTTACGACTTTATGACGTGAGCGGTATAATAAAAGATTGATCTTAAAGGGACAATAGAGCGCTTAAATCATGTGTATGATAAAGCGCTAAACGTAGCCAATGAAAACGATTTCTTCACACAATAATGAAGACGTGGAAGCGAGGTTCTTTAATTAGTACGAATTTTTTAATTACTTATGGATAAGAGTTATTTATGACGTCATATTAGCGACACTCTGAGAGAGGATTGAGGAATGCGAGACTTTTACTAATAAAAAACATCGGTTTGTGAAAAACAACAGTGCATCTTTAGAGTTTTTACACATAAATAGTCTGCGAATGGCGTTGAAATGGCTTTTAAGCGCTCTAAACAATGCTAAAACAATAAAGATCCATATTTTCGCTAGTAGAGTTGGTTCATGTGTCTCTCTTATGACATACTAATACTAATTCATTGAAGATACCTTATTGGTTATTGGTTATGTTAACACCGGCCACATTTTTAATAAACCTGCATAAAAGAGGCGAGAAAATAGTTGGTGATTTATAAGCGCGGAAATGGCTATTAACTTATATACTTCCATAATAAAATAACTGCGTAGTCTACGTGTAATAAGCTTTGAACTAGCTGTCGAAACCCTTAAGCACCTCCGAAGATTTGCAGTAGAGTGATTTTTCATATTTTGGGCATATTTTTCTAAACTCCCGCGCAAGTCGTAGGTGTATTTAGTCATAAAAGCTACAAAATAGCTGCCGAGAAAATCGTAAGTTCTACAACGCGGCGAACAATAATTCACATATGTCAAAGTGGGCCGATAAACACAGTAATAATAGAAATTTTCTTTCATTTTCTTCCCCTTCTCCTTCTTACTCTACTGTTGATATCAAATGAAAACGACGCCATTGTTTACTTTCGTTTGGCGCTAAAAAATATTGCTTTTTTAATACCACACTGATGAGTTATGATTTATGTTTTTATTATATAGACAATCTATCAAATCGATATAAATAAATTAACCGGTTTATTGCATAATAATGCTAAGCAGTTGAAGCGGTAAGAAAGAAGTGAAGCAGATATCAATACAAAAAATTAAATTAAACCGCATTAAAATTAAATATGTATTTTATGCATTGAATTCCAATTGTTTCAAGAGCAGCAACAAACAGCGATAGTACAACTAAACTTAATTATAAATTCTAGACTTACAAGCTAGCGTGGAGTACGAGCGCTCAAGCCGGTGGAAAGCGAACGCGGCAAGTTAGAATATGAAAACCAGCAAATAAATGAACAACAACTATGGGAGAAAAATAGTCACATACACACAAACATATGCTTGGATTTGTGTGTGTGTCCGCCAGCAGTTAAATTGAAAACTTGAAACTTATGCGCAACCGCAGCGGTGAGGTCATACACTATGTATGTTACATAAGCTTGCACATACCGAGTAGTACATACTGTACTATGCATTAAAAATCCGTTTGAAGCTGGATTTATGGTTTATATGCGTACATTGTTGCTTAATTACAATGTTTATGAAGTGTTATTGCTTGAGTAATAGTTGGCAATTTTTTCCGCTCTGAAGGTTGTTTGCAAACAATGAGCGCTGCCTTTTTGACACGACGAAAAATTTGTTAGCTGCCAATTTTTTTTTATAAAAAACTTCACGAATTCACCAGTAGTATTTTCGCAACAGCTAACCTTAAACTTGCGTAAACAATGTACTCATTTGGAAAGGATTGTCGAATTAAATGGATTAGTTGGGGCAGCGTGGAACACCGCCATAATAATTTATCATATTTCGGCATTTTTGGCAAGGGTTATTTTCAAACAAGGTTAGCACAGAAATAAGGCGTCACCTGTTTGAAAATAATTATTTAAGTTCGCAGCGGTAAATTACATCATAATAAAAGAGTTGCTACTGAAAGCGAAGTATGTGCACCTGTGAAAAAGCCACAAGATTAAGAATGTATGTTGTTAATGCAATGGTATTGAGTATTTTAGAGATTATTAGCTGCATTTCATAGTTCTTGACAAATAGTCCATCCAAATTTTATTGCCGAAAGTATGAACACCTACTAACGATTAACTAATAAGTCAGTACACGTCTTACTTTCTCCTTATAGGTATAAACAACAAATTCTTGAACACTTTTGGGTTATTCACACTCCAGACCAGGATCGCATGGCGTCAGTCGTCTCGGGTTTATCTGAGTAGACAAGCTACTTCACATAACCCCACAAAAAATAGTCCAACGGTGGTAAATCGCACTATCTTGGAGAGCACGCCACATGCCCAGGACGCGAGAAACAGTGACTTTTTGAGGATGTAACGGTCTCATCGCTGAACAAATTTTTTTTTGTGAAAATCGGGATTGGTGACCTTATATTATGGGCCCATTCATCGAACGTGCGACGCGCTTGATGCAGCAGATTAAAATAAAAATACTGAAATCAATTTAGTATGGTACCTGTTTGGGCTGCAGATACAGTGGCAGTACTTTAGTACCTACGATTAGAAAGTACAAGCAAAGGCTTATCAGAAGAGTCAATTCAAAAAGTCTTCTCACACTTTCAACCTAACCTCCTAACCTCTTACTCTTGGTAATAATAAACATTGAGATAGAAGGATTCGTGGTGATCAAAACTAAAGCACATTAAATGACTCTGAGTCCACAAATGCTAAGGAAATAACGAATTGCTATGGCACTCCATACTAAACAACGCAATTTAACTGTTGATTTAAAAGTCAGGCCACTTATTGGTCACTTTATATAACCAATAAATATCAACTCATGTGACAAATAGCTCATAAGAGACCAGAACATAAATACACATATGCAATACAGTTAATGACTTGAAAAAAAATTTAAATATTTGCTCGCAATTACAGCTCACTTGAGACAAGTTTGCGTTTAAGAGTGCTACTGCCAAAGCCGCATATCCAGTCAGAGAGTTATAACCACAAATATGACAATGACTTAATTGTCTATTGAAACGATTGCAGCTGCTATTACTTTTTAATTTGTTTCAGACAGAAAAAAGTGAGTAATTATGTTCGCAATTCAGTAGCTGTAGAATTGTGTAAAGTACTTCAGCTGAAACAGGTAAGTGTAAACTTATGTCTATATGTATCATATGACTAATACGCTTAACATTGTTAATTGGAAATAATTTGCTGATTCAAGGGAGTAATTATTGTGGAGAAGAGAGAAATTTCAGTTTACAGATAAATCGTAGTTAATTTATAATTGTGATATCTAAAATGATAAATTATACATACATATGAACATATAACAAGTTGATGCTATCATATTTTATTACAATACTACCTCAGGGTTCAAATCTATAAGAAGGGGTTAGTAGTAGTCAGAATTTTCAAACAAATTTTTATTTTCTTAAAGTGTAATATCTTAGAAGTTTTCTCTGAAAATTTTAAGTATTTGCGACAATACTTTCCGAGTTATTCGATAATTACCAAAGGATTCTCGGACGCTCTGAAACGATCGAGTGCAGGTAGCTAGCAGCAGCTGCAAGCTTTATGTAAATTGAGTGTAAAACTTCAAATGTATTTTTCTAAAACTATATTTCTGGTGACCACTGTAGTTCGAAATCCGTTCGGTTCATTTCAGTAAAATTTATACAGATTTTAGAAACCATGAAAAACTAGTGCCTGATCGAATGTTTTTTTTATCTCAATTTTTTACAATCAATTAACTGTGGTTTTTTTCCTGAAATTCAGGAAAAAAAATTCCCGATGCAGTAATTTTGTTGTTTAAAAAAATCGTCGATCAGGCACTACTACATTATCTATTAAAAAAACTAATTTTTTTTCCAAAGATTACTGATGGTCGCCGCAAGTGTCTTCGTTTGGAGCTGGATCAACACAAACAGCCATTACATTTAAAATTATTAATTATTTTGTTTTAAATATGAAGTCAAGTCGAAACCTTATTTAATCATGCTATGTTTTTACTATTATAAAATAAAATAACTTACTGATAAAAAATATTTAAAATTGCAATTTTCATGCCTCTGACTATACTTAACCCCATAAAATAAATAAAAGCTCCTTCAAATACCCGCAAAAGGTGTAAGCGTCCAAATATTATTAACAACCCGAAATCGTTAAAATTTGCTAACTGAATTTATTATTTTTTAAGAAGTTGTATATGATGAGGCCATTGGTTAGAAATAGTGCGTATCTCTTTATCTATATCACAGTGCGGCCAATTTGTTTTTTCTTTACTTAGAAAAACCAACAGGACACACTCGATACACAAAATTCATCCGAAAATATATTTACATTTTTATACTTTATAATATCTTTAGGGAAACCTTTTAACTGTAGAACTGTATTAAATATTAGAGGAAGGCTAATTGGTGCTTTAAAGGTTTATTCTCGTATTATTGAGACACACTTTTTAGTTTGGAACACTCCTTGTACTGCTAGCTCAGCAGCGGCATCGTGCAACAAAGCTAGTAAAATGATTTTGGTAATACCCTAACGCAACGGTAAGCATATATAAAGGCCAAAAGCGCAACAAGTGTATGCCATTTATTAAAAAAGGAGAAAAAAGTAAAAAAAATAAACACAAGTGGATAAGGACAAAAAGAAATAGCAACAAGTTAAAAACAATGAGAGATAAGTCAACTCACGCTGCAAGTGACTGAGTACATTGCCACATATGTGTGTATGTGTGTTTGTGAAAAGCAATAACAGCTAAATGGCGATTTTTATGGTGATTGCGAAAAATTAAATAACAAAACAGCGAGTAATGCATGAAATGAAATGAACAAAAATAGAGAAAAGCCGCGGCTTTAACGATAAAAAGCAGTCAGAGCTGTAAACAGCAAAAATAAGTTAAATGCATAAAAAACAGAAAAGAGCGCAGTGATAAACGAAAATAAACACCGTTGCTGTTGGCTGTAAACTCACTCGTCCAAATACATATGCAAGTATGTGTGTGTGTGTCCAGAGGTGCATGCGCGGCGCGGAATGTGTGATCGTTCATTGCAAGTGTTGGCATAGTTGCATTCGCCTTGCATACATGCTGCACATAAAAAATATTCACAGGCCAGGAACAAAACACGCGGTTGATTATTGTTGTTATTATTATTAAGTATGATATTATATCGGCTGTTATCGTGGCTTGCGCTATGTAAATAAATGAATCAGTAGCATTCTACAAACAAATGTATGTGGTTGCATGTGTATATTGTGTCAACAGCAGGAAATAACTCACTCACGCCACACAGCTAAGTAACTGTAGATAAGTGTATTGAACGCCTGAAGGCAAACGCAGTGCGAAAAGTGCCATTGCAATTGCAATGAAAGTCACGTATGTAACAAGAGCGATGGCTTACAGCTTTTCGCTACGAAAAATGTCTTTGCTTGGCAAAGCTGCAACTTTTTGTTGTTGTTGTTGTGAACCTGTTCGCCGTGTGCAACCCACACACATTACTAGATCGCCAGTCATTCACACAATTCATTTGGTTCGATTTTCGCCAGTCAAAAGCCGTTAACTCTTGAAATATTCCACGCCGCTTTGCATTCCAGAAATTCAGAATGCACTGGGCCTACGTGTAAAATATGTATGTACAAATGTACATACAATAGAAGTAAACATAAATTTCGATTTTTAAATTATCATTTCGAGTGGGTTTATGAAAATATATAACAATTTTAGGAGCAGGTTCTTGACAGACAGCTATTTGCTGACGTTTTCGAAAGCTTTGTATGAAAACTTGAGTATACATACTTCGTTTTTCTTTTAAATTGCTAATATTTTTTGAGTTTGGCAAGGATTTGGACGAGTGCGATAGTGACAGTGTTATGTGTTTACAAATTAACAATTGTGGTTCTTTTACACCAGTCTTAAATGATCAATTACTTCGCGTTATTCGTGGAAATATGGCCGTGAGAAGCAGGTTTGTAAATATAGCTACTCGGAGTGTTCAGATTTCAAAACTTAGCCGGATTAAAGAAGAGCTTTAAAACAAAGTTTAAAACGGGGAAAAGAGGCGAAAATGAACAATCCTTATTGTTGTTACGTTATAAACATAAGCTCTTCCCAATCAGTGTATCAAACAGGATTATTTTAATTATTGTCGTTTAAATATAAATAAATCCAGGAAAAATATCTGCGACCACTAAGTTAGTTAATGTGGCTACCCTATGGGTCGTGAATTCAATATGTTATCAGATTAATACTTAGACGTCATAGCGAAAAGCCAGTGATTACATTTGAAATAAATCACTGAGCTCACAAATGGGTGAATACAGATATTTTTAAATTCCTAGTAGTCGTAAGCATAACTCTCGACTTTTAGTAAAATTAGTAATTTCTCCATAGAATATTGAACTACTGACCAAGTAGGACATATCCGCAGCTTTATGAAATACTTATCAACCGTAAACACAGAAGCATGACCATCGTTCATTTGTGCAAATAAATAACAGTGTGAAGAGTTTTGTTTGTATAGTGAATTCCACAACAATAATCCTCAAGCTGCATTAAGCCGCATTAAATGTCGTAAATCAATCGATAAAAGCTTGGCATAGTTTTTACTAAATAAACACGCCACTTTGATTTATTGTGGAAATTTTTATTCATTCCTCGATAGTACAGTGGTTAGTATCCCCGCCAATATTTTATGAAAGTATTACTTTGTTAATGAACACACTATTATTGGTTCCGAAAAGTTAGAACCAATTAAACTTTGTCAGTATTGTTGAAAGCCGATAATTAATTGACATTCGTTTATATGACATGCCGCACCCTTAAGTGTTTAATATTAATAACGCGCGAAACTCATTGCCACCCACATACCTCAAGCACGTTTAGGAATCGTCAAACAATCTGCTTTGCATGCTCACAATGTGCAATTTGAAATCTTATTTACAGCTAAGCTTTTTAGCGCGTATTATATGTCTTTACTTGATTTATCTGCGTCGCTTCCAATTAAATCATTTGCGATTTTAATGTTACGTTCACATAGCCATAAAATCCAGCAACTAGTCGATCGATCACAAACACCTACACAAAAATGTGGAAAGCGTGATAAAAACCAGTGTTGCAAGCTTTTCACTTGTGGCGCGACTATTCTACGCCAACTCGTCGTCGTCTGCTTATGCTACTTTGTATATTTTAGTAAATAATGTAGCCATTTAAAAACTGGACTTACCGGCACGAAATGTGGCAAGTTATCCAATACTTGCAACTTATCGATACGTTGTTTTATGCGCTCACGATGGTGTGGATTTTTTATGCCGATCGCCGTCAAATCTTCGGGGGTCATACGTGCAATGGTCGGCAAATCGTAACCGGCCGCTATAAACAATTGTGCATACTCCTCATACTTCATCTCCATTAGCCAATCGATGATAAGTTCATCGTTACGTTGCCGATCGACACTACCAATCGAACATGAACTCACCGAGCTGCAACGTGGCGATGAGAGTGCACCGCCCGCACTACCACGTATCGATGCACCCGACACACCAGTCAAATACGATGAGGCACGACCCGAATCTAAACTAGCTGTAGAGTGTCGCGAACCAGAACCAGCTGAGCCCGACGACGAACCGGGCGAATCGCGACCTGGCGATTGTGTCAAATCGATACCCTGATCCTCTTGCAGCGCCAATTGTTGATGATAGTAAACGGCCGCTTTGTGTGTGAGTGGTTCACGAAGTGTGGCGCAAAACACGGGCGGTGGACATGGCACTATTGTGGGTGGACAACCGCTGAGCAGCGGATTAGTTGCGGTGGATAAAAGTGTTGCGCCACCAGTGGCTACTTGATTAGCTGCTTGTTGTTTGCCAGCTGCGGCAGTGCCGGCAGAGGAGCCCGACGATTGTGATGTGCCTGATGTGGACATGACTGTAGCGTATTCGCTTATTTCATCTACATGGAAAGAAAGGTGAAGAGTAAATAAATAAAATCAATCACTATGAGACATTGCAAGTAATGTATGATAAATATTGTGGAAAGCCTAGCAAGCACTCATACGCACGCGTACATGCTGCATACGCACCTTTCATACGCAATGCTACCGATGGCTCACGTGGCAAATTGAAACCGCCCTCCTCCAAAGATGGCGATGATACCATGCTACTCATTATGATGCCATCATCCAGCTGTTTGCCGGCTGCACTCGAAATACTGCCACCTAAACGGTATAATGGTATTTGCTGTTGTTGCGGTGCGGGATCTCCGGGTAGCGCAGGTGGTGGTACCTTTTTAGCTTGTGCGTGCGGCTTCAATGACCGATGCATTGCAATGACAACAACACCGTATGGCGTACGGCTGAAACCAGCTGGATGCTATAATGCGTACGCGTTTTAACTGTAGTGGATTCTGTGAAGAGAGAGGGAAAGGAAGTGAAGATAATAGTGTTAGTGAGTATCTTCAATGTTTTGATTAAAATGGCATTTGACTGAGGAAGAAACATCTGTTGGAAAGGTGTTTTTAGAATGTAAAGTGACTAACATTAGTTACACAGACACTTTTGCCAATTTTAATTGCTCTATTGTTGAGTACATTTTTTCTGGAAGTAGGAGATTGGAAGCAATGCTATTTATGGCGTAGAAGAAATTGTGTTTGTTGAAATTGGCATGATATCACTGTGAGGAATTTTGACTAAAATTTAGAGCGGGAAGGACCCAAAAGTGTAGAAAACATCTGGCTGAGGGCTAATTTGTCTAAAGCTATAAACTGAGCATAGAACTGGAAACACCAACCGGAGAAAGTCTATTTCACAAATCAACGAAAGGAGAACTCATCTGAATAACATATTTAAAGTTCCATACAGCGTACTAAAAGTAATCGCTATGAATATAGATGTATCAAGAAAATCTGGATGAAATGTTAAAGCTTTTCCCATTTCAGCGTAGCTTTAAATATTATATAACAAAACTAACATATCATTTCCGAATCGAAATGAGTTCGTCGTGAACTTGTTGCAGGACCTGCTTACCGAAAGCAACATTTTCGGCCGGTGGTTCAGTGAGTGAAACCATTCTTAATTTCATTATAACGAAACGGCTAATATTATGCGAAAACCTACCATAGTATAGTGACAATTATTCGACTTCGTATGTCTGCCTCTGTTAAAGTTTACGACTGTAATATTTTATATCGGTAGTCGTGTAATTAAAACCTCTTTTAAATTTGTAGTAATTCTTAGACAGTATAACGGTCGGCATCCGCTTTGTTGCTTCAGTTATCAATCCACTGATTTTATTATTTACTGATTGAATTTGAGAAATAAAGCCATAACAAACAAATTTTAGGAAATCACTTTCAGCAAAACAAATAGCACACTAAACGCCTACACATTCACCTCGCCCAGTTAGGGGTGAATAAAAGGCCGTGGTTAAAAACAAAAGCAGGAAATAATTGACTGTGAATAAAAAGAGTTTATATTATACAACAAAATTAAACGCCCGCGCATCAGAGCAGCCATTCGAGTGCGGTCCTGAAATTTGATATCGCCTACGATAATTCCCAAACAAAATTTAGTTTAAAGAAAAAATGGAAGGAAGAGCTTCGTGTCCATTGAATGCGCGGCTACTTGACGAGTAGGCGGGCTGGTATGTTTTCTTTCTACGAAAATGCAATTCTATAGCGAGTGCGAGTACTGAGTATACGGGGAGAGGGTAAAGTTAATATACTCCAACGTAGTGGTCGTCGCTGCAATAACGGAATCATACCTACATATTTATATCGTTTTGTAGTAGAACGACCAATCATAATTACGTTCACGATGACGACGACTATGACGTTGACATGCTGACGAATATTTAATACGAAAAACATCGGTTTTCTGGGTGTCAGGTGTTGGGCTGACAGTGTATGCGTGCGTATTAATAAAATTGTAAAAGGTCATATTACGATTTCATTCACAAAGACACAAACAAAAGTCGGTTATAATATTGCCAACACGACGAATGACGCCGACTAGCGAACACAAGCTGCCGATTGACATAAGCGGAGGCAAGAAGCGTAGGCGAATGCAAACGAACGAGTGAACTACTGCAACAAAGTGCCACAAGATGCGTTTCGTGTTGTTATTTTAGGTTCATTGAAAGGGTGGACGCATATTTTGTTGTGGTTAGAAAAAGTATGCTGATCCTAACTCCCCTTTCTGCCTACTGGAATTGATATGCGGATAGGAAAAAAAATAAATACCGAACAAAGAAAATAAACTGGAGCAACTGCTATTCGTACATTTAGAGAGGACAGCCGCAACAAATTTGCTTATGGCCCACTGCTTGATTGCGCCACGCAAATGCCGTCGTGACGCTTTTGTGAGCATAGCATGCACTTGGTAATGCTGAGAATGCAATCACGAATCATGTATCACGTAGTCGTCTCATAGCCGTTGCGCCCAAATTAATATTGCGGTACAAACGACAGCAAGTGAACGTGTGACACGATGTTGGCCAACGGCTCGTGTGTATATGGAAATGACTTTTGAATGCATAATCACGACGTCTAGCGACAATGCCGGCGGCGTTTTTTATGCCGGGGTACCGAAGCGTGTCATACATTAATATGTTTATACTGAACAGAGAGCACACAAATTTGTACAAACAGATTGGCGGCGTACGCTGTGAAAGCAGTATTAAAATTCGGTGTGGAAATTTATTTCCAAATGCAACACTGCACAGCATGACACACGTGGGCGAGCGATACGGTGAACATGTGATGCCAAGAATTGTGCTGCAACCAAAGCTGTCAAAAGCAATGTATTAAAGAGTACAATACAAAAAACTAAAGCAATGGAAGAGATTGAGAGAAGCGCAAGCGCACGACAATGTAAGAGAATACCATATAAAGGAGAATGAGAGAATTAGACAGCCACAAACTACCTATACTCATTTATATAAGTAAAGGTATTTCTGTAAAAAAAATTGCTTTTATATTTGTTGGTATATGTATGTCACTAAGTGCACAATAAATTGTACCGGTTTTTTACGATTTCATCTGCTCGTAAATGCCAACACTAATCGACTGCTACAAATTTCAATCAACTGATTTTATGCCTCATGATCAATGCGTCAGCAACAATTTTCTCCGAAATGCGAGTAATGTGGAAAGCGCATAAATACATAATTAAGCACACGCATCGTACATACGTAGATGTGTATGCACATATAAAATAGATAACCATGCAACCATATTGTCAAAGAAATCAGAATTGTCAAATATTTGTACTGCAATGACAAATTGACCGCTCGAACAAAAGGTAGAGAGTTGGAGAAAACAACTGCTGAAATTGAACTTTGGTGACGTGTATGTTATTGTTGTATACGATTTTCAAGTGACAGGTGGTACGCAGTGAATACAATAAACACTTTGTAGAAAGTGGCAAGTTAGCTGTAACTGAAAAAAAAAAATAAAACAAGAAAAAACGTAAACTTCGGTTGCACCGAAGCTAGAATATACTTACAAATACAAAAGATTCCATACAAGAACTTGATTTTTATGGGTCAGTTTGTATGACGGCTATGCTATAGTGGTTCCATCTGAACAATTAAAAAATGTTTTCGTACAGAAACTTAATTTGATTGTTCAGTTTGTATGGTAGCTATTTACCAGAGCAATGAGGTCTACAAAATTTCTTGAACAATAATTCATGTGCAATGATCATTTATATAAATATATACATATACCATACATATATTTTTTTTATAGGGTGTCTGACATTTCCTTCTGGGTGTTACAAACTTCGTGGAAAACTTAACCCTGTTCAAGGTATAAAAATATGCATAAGCTGAAAATAGTAGATGGGGCAGTCTTTTTTTTGAAAGAACACAAATGCTCAAGGAATGCAAATAGAATAGCATATATGTAAACATATAGAGTAAAGGTTCAAACTAATGACAATTTGAGGTTTCATCTTATCCATATATTTTGTCAAGCTTTCGTTTCAAATACCACAAATAAATCAATAATTTTGCATGTTGAAAATACGCCAAGGCATTTGAAATTCTCTGCCGAAATGCCACAGTTTATATAACATGATTTTTCATGATATAATAGCCATAATATACTGTGCCAGTAGACTCCTAAGCTCTGCAAATTTGGCTACTTTTGATGCACTCTTACAAAAAATATCCGTTTTGAAGAAATTGGTTGCGGTTATTAAATTCCATACCGGATAGGGACTACGAAGAGAGCCTTATAAGCTCTTCCGCCTCTCTTCTCTAAGTTGTTTTGACGAACATTTCTCAAATACGGCAAGTATAAGTTTGAAACTAAACGATATCATATTTTACAGGGTATGGTATATATACAACGGCTTCGTTCAAGATTGGAATGATAGGGAATTTGGTAGCACCAAAAACACCACCACTTTATTAAAGCGCTGAATTTTGACACAACGGTGATAAAAATAAAAAGCTAACAAAAATTATAAAATTAACGGGTGTTCTAGGGGTAATTTTTTCAATAGCCTTTTTTTGACAGATCACGCGTGAGTCGTGTTAAGCTGTTATTTTATTTTTGTTCAGTATTGTTTGGCATTTCATCATTGAAAGACTTAAGCCTGAACAACGTTTACAAATCATTCAACTTTATTACGAAAATTAACGTTCTATTCGCAACACCATTACCCATCTTGAGACCCAGCATACATTATTGGATAATTACCAAATAGACCACGTCCAACATAAAGAAAATATAGCGACCGTAGTGTACACTAAGACCGTGGAGAGTCGATTCGGTGCATTGGCAGCAACTCAACCAACTGGTATGGTTTGTGGGTTTCTTCAAAAATGATGCCGGTGAGAACGAAACCGTCAATGGATGTATTGAGAGAACACTTTTTGGGGCAGATGATTTTACGTTTTGGGCCGGTCTATTGGCCACCAAGATCGTGTGTTATCGCCGTTATACTTTTTCCTGTGGGGATATGCAAAATGTAAAGTTTATGCGGATAATTTCGCTTCGATTCAGGCCTTGGAGCATAACATCACTCGTGTCATTCGCCAAGCACCAGTCGAAAATAGTCGAACGAGTCTTTGAAAATGGAACTCAAAGGATGGACCAACTGAGACGTAGCCGCGGCCAACATTTCAAAGAGATAATCTTCAAAAAATAAATGCCAATGAATATTATTTCGAATGATAATAAACATTCCCCATTATTTTTTTCTTTAAAAAAGTAGAAAACCTTGAAATGGATCATCCTATAATTCCGTATCAATCGATAGAGATTGAGTTTTTAAGTCTTCTTTTGGAATGTTGTTCGAGAATTAGCCTTGAATTCCGATTATTTATATTTCCTTCAGTTGATATAATTAAATATAAAACAACTAAAGGTCTCGAACTTAAAATTGCTCTCATTTAGTG